ACATTCTTTTGGAGATTTTAGTCTTCCCCATTCAAGTAGAAGGAATTGTACTTGAATGCCTGTTGCTTACATGAAAAAGGAGGTAGGGCAGTTTCTGACTGAATTCAGTTTGATTTGTATTTGTGTATATTTTTAATTATATTGTCCATTTTGCTCATATGAAAGACATTCTCTCTCTGTTAATGCAGTGAATTATACAAGGCAGTGTTTCAGATGTATTTAAATGGTTAACGCTTCCTTTTGACCTATTCATTTGAAAAACCAACTAACAGGAGTAATTTGCTTCATGAATTGGACTTCACTAATTGTGCTGTATGTTTTTGATTCCCTAAAAGAACCAGCTCATAAGAGTCATTTGATCATGAATCAGGCTATACACTGATCACACTGTATATGTTTGATTCACTAAAACTATCGGACTCATAAGTCATAAGTGAATTGGACTACACTGGTTGTGGCATCTATTTGATTTGCTAAAAAGATCTGGCTCATGAGTCATTTGTTTGTGATTCAGACTTCACTGCTCGCGCAGTGCATTTAAAGGACCCCTGAAATGCTTAGAAACACGCAGTGTTACTCTATGTGTTGACGTTTTTTAACTGAAACAGGAAGACAGGGCGGGACATATCAAGCAGCCCCGCCCCTTTTTAAAATAGCCAATAGCGTTCTTTTATATCACAGCTTGGGCTAAAGCCGTTCATAGCCGTTGAGCTCCGTAAAGCCACATTTGACAGGGTATGCCAGTCACAATCTCATCCATATTGCTATAAAATATAGCATTCTGTGTAGAATTCAAATAGCTCCGATACATTTTGTGGTCTGCACCGACTCGCCGACTCCGCTCCATGCTATCGTGTCTCTGGTGGATCTAGGTGTCTGAGGTGGTTAGCGTGACACAGCACGAAACCAGACTTCTTTGTTTCCTCAATGGAAAGCATATTTACACTATTTGAATCGTTCCCTGTCCCCTATATATATATAATTCTGTGGACAAATGACCGATTTCAGCCGCAGCTTCAGCGTCTATTTTATAGTGTAGGGGGCGGGCGCTTCGGATTCTAGAGAGCATTTGATTGGACAGAAAGTTTGATGAGAAGCTGAAGTACGATTTGACGTCAAAAAAATCGAAAAAAGTGACGAACTGCAAGCTTTGAATGCTTATATCTTCTAAATGCGAATTTTGTCACTGTTTTGGAGCACACTGTCTTATAGATAACCTTAAGACTTAACATATTGATACTAACACCCAAAAAACTTTAATTTTGATTTCATGGGGACTTTAATTCGGTTAAAAGATCCGACTTATAAGCAGAGCCGGTCCTCCCTATATGCAAAATACGCAAGCTGCATAGAGCCCCCGAAACACCAGGGGACCCCCCTTTCTCTCAAAGATGAAAACATTTTTGTTTCGTTTTTGAATTTGGCCAGCGGTTATGAAAACATGAATGATCATTTCTTTTAATGCGGTGCGCTGTCGCCCTTTCTACGTAAAAATCCGTCAAATCATGTAATGTGAATGTCGTGCAGTCTTGCTCGAGTCTAAAAAATGAATTGAAAGCGTACCGAGCCGCGGAAGAGACACTGTTTCTCAAGCTCTTTCGCCGAGCGCGATTCGAGACGGAGTGAAACACAGACAAATGCGTTTCATTCGTTCGTTCATAACCACTCGATGGCTTCTCAGCCATCAGTAACACTACATGGCTTAACATATTTTACCATGCTAAAACACACAAGTCCACAGATTACCCCCAAAATCAGTGCAGATAATGCCAAACATTCTGCAGATTCCATTTGTGCCCGAATTACCACCTGATACCATCACAATATGTTTCTGCAAGGGATGGTGCAATTTTCAAATGACTGTTGTAAACAGTACATGCATATTCCTTTATGCTGAGCAGATGTAAAACAACAGTGTCTCAAGAAAGACCCCCAGGTTAAACAGAAGGATGCACACATGGCCCATGTTGATTGGTTAAATCCTCGTCTCCTGCGAGACACCGTTGCCAACCTTCTCCTATTCTTGTTTTAAATGCTCCGGATATACAGCTGGCCTGTTAAAATGATTCCCTAGCTGCCTTCAATTTGGAGTACAACAGAACGTAACAGAATCCGTAGCAGCATATTGGAGTTTCCAACTCAGTGACGCAAACCATGACAACTCTTCTCAGATGATAAGGCAAGGTTTATTTAATTAAGACACATAACTGTTAGCTTATGACATGGATGCGTATACAAAATGATATTGACACATTTAAAACTCACAAGTACTATGAGGATAAATTAAACAAACAAAAAAAGCAAGAAATAAAAATCATGAACAATTTCTTCTGAATGCTACATGCCGAGGGCTTACAAGACAGAATGTACAACATAGAAAGACAAACAGGATAATGGTGGAAAAATGAGAATTTGGAAATCAAATATAAACTCCTGTCTCTATATTAAAATCCTCCGGATATTTTGCTACATTTTAATAGTTATGTGATATATGAGAGAAGGTATGGCAGCAAAGTCATTAAAAAGAAAGAAAGCAAAGAAATCGGAGCAGAAAATCGATTTCTTTTTCCTCAAAGGAAAGTGGTATTGTAAAATGAATGCATTATAGTAGCTGCCGAAGGAAAAAAAAACAACATTTTGATAATCTTTTCCATTTGATGTGATGGGGTGTGGGGGTTTATTTCAGAATAGACATGAAAATGAGTCATTTATATTGAACACAATATGAAAATCGCACCGAAACTCGAGCGAAATGAAGTTGTATAGCTGGAGATGAAAGAATGCACTCATGCAAAATGTAAAAAACATGATAAAACACCAAACCAGTGCAACCATGGAGACAGTATCTGCAATTTTACTCTTAACAGATCACCGGAACACCATCCAGATGGAAGAAGGGAAAACCCCTCGTGTTGCAGTTTAAATCTCACTTCCATATTTATCAAACAGAACGTGAGCTGATGAACGTGAGGCCCATCCTCTTTCCATCTGTATGACGAAAATGAATGAGTGAAGAATTGAACTGACAGAGGGAGTTTTTCATTTTTGCAGAAGTACAAGCAACGCAACTCTGAAAGTGTGTGGTTTAGCTGATCAGAGCTGATCCCTGTTTTTATATTCAGAATTTAGATTTTTTTTCCTGCAAAGAGATAAAAGATCATTTATATAAAAAAAAAGATACAGATTATTTTAAAATCAAATGTAATATTTACACTGGACTTAAACCCAGTTTCAGCTACTGTACTTTCCCTGCCCTCTCTCACACCGTGTCCTAACCAGACATGGCTTTTCCAGCATAATTTAATTTGTCTCTCCACAGAGAAAAGGCAAATTCTGTGTAATGACAGATCCAATCAGAACCTATTTCATGTTTAAAGCTGAAACTTTTTTATGTGAAAACAATTATTATTAAGACATTCATAGGCTGAGTTCCCTAAAACGTGAAACACTGCAGCTCTGTGGTGTTTTCAAAACATTGATCTGTTTGTTTGAATATCTCAATCTGCCCAACAACAGCAACACTGGTTCAGCCAATGGGGTGTGTTTGGGGGCTGGGCTATCGATTTGCCTCCAGGCGGGGCTTTGGGAAACCTGTTTAAAAACAGTAAATTCAGTCTAGTTAATGTCACACTTTAGCTTTAATGTGCAGCTTTAAGAAGTGGGAATTTGCTCCATCATGGTTAGGATACGGTTTTAAGGGCATTCACACAGAATGCATTTTTGCATTGCACTTACCTATTCTATTCTATTAGTTTTTTCTAATTTATAAAAAAAAACCTTGCTATGTGTACTGTGCTAGACTAACTGAGACTTGTCACATCACTTGTATACTGTTGCTCTCTTGTTGGTCTGATTGCTTCTATTGCTCTCATTTGTAAGTCACTTTGGATAAAGGGGTCTGCTAAATGATTAAATGTAAATGTAAACACAAAAACGCATACTGTGTGAATGTCCCCTCACAATGCAAATGATTTTTTATGTATACACACCGCTACATGAGTAACTTGACTCGTGACTCATACACGCATACTACTAATATGCTACTAATACACTAGATTGCGCATACATTTCCTGTATCCTTCACCTTCCACTTTCTTAGTCTCTTTTTTGTCAAATGTCAAATAAAATTTCCCAGCTAAACAATCAGTGCTCGATTACACATGATGTTGAAGAGGCACTGTGTCTTAAAAGGTGCAGAGGAATTTGACGCAAACCGAATTTGAAAATCGCTTATGAATAGAAATCACAGATTGGTGCTATTTAACGAATACACAAGGCCTCTTAGGGTGCTTTCACACATGTAGATCGATTGCTTTGTTCCGAAAAAGGGATTATAATTATTACAATGTTGCTTTTTATTCTTGGTGCGGTTCGCTTTCATGCGGCAAAGTTTCTAAACGTAACAAATTTGTCAATACAAGTCACGAGCGAGTAAACTGTTGTCTCATTGGTCAAAGTTCCACGGGTTATTTTCCGGGATTCCACTTAGCTGTCACGGCTGTCATTCGTCAGGATGGAACGACAACAGCTTCGCGGGCTTATTGTTGGTTTTTTTTTTTTTTTTGTAGCTGTCGTTATATTAATTTATCATTTTGAGCAGGAGTCCAGGATTTATCGTGAAAACATTTTTAAAATGCACCTACTAGGAAGAAGAGCAATAAGACGGTATTATAAAATGAAAAAGTGCGCTTTGATTTTGAATGGCGAAGACGTGCTCACCCACAGACAATCACAGGTTCATTTTGAGGTATTAGCAAAACAACAAAGCTAATGCTTTTCACGGAACTTACATAATTACCCATTATACATTGTGATATAGCCTGGTTCGTTGGTCCGTTATATCGGATTGCTTTCTCACTACAACCGAACCGCTCCAGAGTTCGTTTTCAATCGAACCGAGACCCCCTCGTTCAGGCGATCTCGGACCGATTGTTTTGGGCGCGGATCCAAGTGCGATTGCCGTGTTCACATATGCCCAAACGAACCGAGCTAAGGGGGGAAACGCGCCAGGTTCCGAAACAACGGGCCAGGTGTGAAAGCACCCTTAGACTCAAGTAGGTGCATCTAGAGTCTGATTGTAATAGACTTCTCAGCTTCTCCTAACCAGAGGGAAAGTGAGACTTAAGGAGTGGATGGACTAGTTCCGCTCCAGCAGTGGCAGTTATATGCTGGTTCATCCACAAGCAGCTTCATATGGTGTAGCAACAGGGAGAAGCTCAACTCCACACCCTGTCGTCTTACATTGCTAGATCTTTAGCAGCTAAAGTAAAATTATCTTACAGTGTGAGTCTTTAAAACTCGCTTTAACATATTCTGATATAGTCCTGCACCACCCTTGTAAAGGGTGCAGCAATATAGTACACTATTAAGATAGCGAATGTTTAATCTGTACCGCTACACACTCGAGAGTATTGTGTTGATAGACTAGATAAAGTCGATCCTGATTTGGATCCTTAGTTAAGAGTATTGACTTGAATGAAAATGAGACTGTGAGGGAAAGGAGTAGTTTGTTTATGTTGTACTCTTGTATTCCAAGGACTGTTTGGCCAACAAAATACTGAAATATGTCTTTCCACAAATTTTTATTGGACAAAAAATTAAGTTAATTAGACATATAACCATTTACTTTCATCCTTCACAGCCTCTTTTTCGTTCACACCACATTACATATGCCATCCACTTTACTGAAGTCTGTAGACACTGTATCAGGGTTGTGCGAAATTGGTTTAATGGAATACGTTTTTACATTTAATTTCTGAATTTGAATTTATTTTTTAATTTAAATTTAGCAATTTAGCAAATTCCCCTTCCTGTCATTCCAAGTCAAATTCCAATTCAGTTTCCTCTGGGGTGTGGCTAATTCAAATCAAATTCACACTTGTGAACCGAAAGGGTGCCAATTCCAATGTCAACTTTTGCACAACCTTGTGGTCTATATAAATTATTCTGTTTTTGCAAGATTTCAGCATATGGCTCAAATATTACAGACATTCAAAACAAAATTTACTAAACACTGAAGATGTTGAAATATTTTTAGCCATAGTCTGTTTGGTCTCAGTGGGCTTTTGCCCTGACAGGGAGATGCAGAGCGCTAAATCTATATCAGCTACTTTAATGAACATCTGAGGGGAAAAAATACATTAGGACAACCTAGTGTCTCAGTATCTTCCTTTGAATGAGAAATCTACTCTCCCAGTGGAATATAACGTGGAAGTTGTGGGGTAGCACTAGATGAGACCCTCTCTGGGGTGGAAGTTACAGCAGACAGATTGGATTTCTTTGGTTGTGGGGGCATCCAAAAATGTACAGCTCACAAGGCGTCTGTAATCTACCGTGCCAGAAAGATAACATTGGGAGCAGTGAGGAGGGATAAGTGATACACCTGGGCCGTGTATTACATAGTCCGTTGTGTACAAAGTCTCTTCAAAGCCCCGCTGGCCTGCATGCCTATCATGCCAGCCTGAATGAACTTCTGTTCCCAGCTACCACCTGCCTGTTTCATCTACAGACGCACACACACACCTGGCTGGGCTGGACAGAAGTGGCGGGCTGCCCACGTTCTCCACAAGAGCACAGCCAAGTCCAGCTCTCAACACAATCTATTTACAGATATACACACACTCACACTACATGTACACGGACATTATACGTACACAATACCCTTGAAATTGCGAAATTTTGCAGAAATCAAACCAAAACAAACTTATATACAAAAAAAATGCATGTGTATAACAATATACAATGGGAAACCTTTCAGAGGTCAAACTTCCAGTCTTTACATTCAAGAGGGGCGATCTGGGTCATTCAACTCCATGACCCAATTACATCATGATAGCTGCTTTGGTTTGGTTGTCGGCACATTCTTTGTGCTCGCCAAACAGTAAAACACAGAGTAAATCAAAGAGGAACTTTTTAATGAGGAATGCTCAACATCTGTTGGTTTGACGGGAGATCTCAAGAGGTCCATCCAATGGAGTGAAAGAGAAATAAACAAAAACAAAAAACACCCCGAATCAACAGAGAAGGGGTAGGTGGTCGAGTTCAAAATGCCATCATGCAATAAAAAAGTAGCTAAAAGAGTCTCTTTCTCCACACATGCAAATAGTGGAGAAGTCATTTACATTCATGCCGGCAAACGTTCCTATTTTCCTCTCTCTTTTTTTTTTTTTTTTTGATTCATGCTACAAAATGCCAAAAAAAACCTGATATAAAAATGTCCAAAAAGCACAACCTGAAGTTTAAAAATCTCTTTGTACTTGTTTCGTACATAAGAAACAAACTTTAAAGATAAAATGTTTTTTTTTTGTATTTTTGCCTCCATATGAATTATGCGAGCAAGTGTCTGTGTGTGCATGTGCTTTGTGTGTCGATCTCTGTGCGAGTGCAACTGTACATGGCAGTGACGAGCATTATAGTTAAAGTGTGGGAGCGTTCCTGTGAGTCATCATTCTGTATTCTTTTTCTTCGTGTTTTCTTCACTCCAGAGAGGGTGAAAGAGCGTGAGTGCCGCAGCTCCTGTGGCTGGAGGGGCGCCGGATCAGCGGCAGCCTTTGAAGGGCACTGGTGCTGGGCTTTGCAGGGCAGTGTGGCGCTGAAAGATGCTTTGATAAGCTGAAGAGGAGAGACAGGCAGAGAAAGAGAGATAGTTTGGTGAAGAGACCCGTAGAGCCGTCACTTCTGAGCGAAAAAGGCTCCGATGGTCACTCCTGCTAAGCCGAGCACTGCCAATCCAAGTACTTTAGTTAGGTACGAAAATGGGTGGAACACTGAGTCTCTCTGCTGACTGTACAACTCCACGAAGGCATCCTGAAAGAAAAAGAGAGGAAAAGAAAGCAGAATATTAGGAACTAGCAAAGAGCTAAAATTATTACAAACATAGTCAATTAGAAGTCACTATCTCCGTTGTTCCACTGTAATGGGAAAAAAAACAGAGACAGTAAATGGAGCAACTAGGCTCAAAAGTTTGGGAACATAACTGCACAAAAAAAATAACTGCATAGTAGAGTGCATTATGAAAATCTGGGACACTGCTGTACTTTCGGTTTCTGCAATTTACTTTGATCAGGTTAGCCAAGGTCAGCCTCATGTAACCCAACATTACCATAATTACCCTAATTCACCATATTCTAAGCAACAATATTCAAACAGGAAGTTCCAAAGGTTTACCCAAGATAAACTTGATATTATAAGATAATGTACAGCTAGCTGACTAGCCAAAACTATACTGATAAATTGGAATTGGAATATGGAAGCTTCAAATGTGTAGTGATAAAGTCAAATTCAGATTTTAAATTCAATTAAATGAAAATAATTTAATTAAAGGAAATTTGTAAATGTTTTTGAAAGATGCTTTTTAAAAGACGATCTTTATTGTTTTATGCTCACCAAGGCTGTATTTGATCAAAACGACATTAAAAACAGTAATACTGTGAAGTATTATTACAATTTAAAGTAACTATTTTCTATTTTAATATATTTTAAAAGGTAATTTATTCCTGTGGTGACAAATATATACAGTGTGCCAAGAGTAAAATATTAAAATACTGAAAATTAAATATATATACATAATACATTTATTGTTTATGCATAGGTATGTATTAAAGTAAAATTACTGGATAATCATTGGATTATCAGTTACCAAATTAATCATTAGTTGCAACCCTAATTCTGGCAAACAAAGCAGCAACAGATCTAAAGCACACAACATTGTCACACATTTAGTGTCTGATAGAAGGTCTGTAATCTGTAACATGTCTAATTGCCATACATAGGGAAATTATGTGTTTTCGCATGGGGATTTGAGACAAGCACATCCCTCCTCTTCAACACCACATCTGTGTAGCCAAATTCCTCCGGGACACCGTCCAGCCCAGAGAGAGAAACACATCGAATGATAGAGAGAAAGAGGGGGCAGGCACAAAGAAGACAGCTCAAATCCATAACATTGAGCCCGGTTCCCTGTGAGCCCACTCAAGGAGGACGAGAGGGAGGAAATAGGGAAATAAAGGAAGAAGAGCGTATAAGACAGGGTCTCTGTGCCAGGGCTTCCACTGTCTCATCACTCCTACACACAACCGCATCTGCCGTTTCCTTCTCCAGTCAAACTCACTGCAGACTAACTAAAGCGTCTTTCACGCATCTGTATAGCTGAATTTCTACACTCAAACATAAATACTTATATGCATTTGTCACAAGGAAATTACAGAGTTCATCCCCCTCCTGTTTACAGGGTCATTTATAAGGAAATAATTAGGTTCTTTCCCCAAGCAGAATATGGGACAGCCCCTTTCGAAATAATCTTCCAGGAGAATTCACAGCCGTAGGTCACGAAAGCGACAAAACATTGCTGATGCAATCAAATGATACCATTGATTTCACTCGATCTTCAGGCTGTTGGCAAAGCCGCGAGAGGTATTGGCCCCCTGTGTAAACAAGTAGGTGTTTGTGAATGTGTGTTTGCATTTACGTGCACGTAGGTGGGAGAGTGTCTCAGTTGGTGTTTCTGGGTTTAATCATAAGACCCCCAGCAGTATCCACCCATGCACTCCTGTTTGAAGTCCTCTGAGTGGGTTTGTGAGGAATGTGAGGGGGAAAATATGTGCTGAAACTGTGCTTGGGAACCGAGAACCGGTTTCTTATTAAAAAACAAATACCAAAATCAACTGTCAAGAGTTATTAATAAAAATAGCTAAAACACTAATAGTGCTGTTCACTCAATCTACTGAATCCACATTGCGAAACATGGTGTTCTCTGATTTCCAAATTAATGACTCTAATGAGTCGGTTCATTTTAGCGAATCAAACACATGTGAATAGCGAATCACTCAACCAGTGTAGTCTGATTCACTAACAAATGACTCTTATGAGCCAGTTTGAGCTGGTTTGTTTTGGTGAATCAAACACATATAACTAAACCAGTATTACCTGCTTCTCTAAGAAATGTCTCCTATGAGCTGGTTCGTTTGGCGAATCACATATGTCGACCAGTCTAGTTTGATTTGCAAACAAATGATTATTATGGGGTGGTTAATTGACCACTTGACCAGTGTAGTTTGATGAATACCGAATGTCGGTTAGTTTTAGTTAATCAAACATTATTATTAACCCGGTGGAGCAGTTACTGAATAATCTGACTGATTTACTGAACCACAACTTATTACTTTCATGTTGTCCAACTCAAAATTAAGGTTTGTGAGACCTGAATCACTGTAGTTACTTGTAATAAATATGAATAAATGAAATATTTTACCATATTTTTCATTTAATATTTTTTATATAATTTACAGTTAAATAAGCCTGTGTCTTATTTATTACATATCTGGTCCATTAATGATTAAACTAACATATCGTTGAGCGCAATATATGCAATACAAAAAATTATTATTATTAATTATTATATTAAAAATATTTGACTATTTTCAAATATTTCCTAAAAAACATAGAATAAAAATCATGGAACTGTTAAGGAACTAGAATCGTTAATAGGAATCATACCAGAATCTTTAAATTCCTTTCGATTCATCCATCCAGCTAAAATTGTGTGTGTGTGTGTGTCTTTTCTCATTCTTCATCTCCAGATCCCCATGCGGCATGTTGTTCCCTACTCAATAAGTAAAGCGGTGGTTTTATTGTGGCGGACAGCGGTGTGTGATCATCCTGCAGGCGCTGTTTGGGCCCGGGTTGGCCCAGCGAGGGGGCCGCCCTATACGCGCAACTGTTTGAATTACATTATTCTGTTCTTCACGGGCAAGAGAACTTCAGTCGAAAAGAGAGAGAGAGAAAGTAGTGCAACACGGCCTGTGTGAATTTCCAGCACATGCTGGGACACAGAGCATTTGAATCCAAGAACATCAGATAAAATTGGCCACGACTTTGACAGGTATACAGGGATAGAGAAAGACATGGTGAGCGGCTTTCTGAGGCTTTTCAAATTAAAATATGCTGATGCAACACAAAGCAGCTAACTGTGTAAAATTCCATTAATTGTCATTTGTTAATTTAATGGGGAACCGTCAGGGCCCTCTAGGCCCTCTCTATTGTAAAAACAATATTTACCATTTTTTTATATATTTTTTTTAAGAAAAAGTCATAATTTCCTATTTTATTTAAGCAATTCATAATTTCACAGTCATCATCTAAATAAAATAAATACAATTTCTGTGGAAATAAACTCTTCAAATCTGCCTATTCAGAAAATGTGTTACATGAACTCCGCCCATTTTCTCCATATTAGAATGTTTCCGCCTAGCGTCTGCGGCTCTGTGATTGGTGGTTCAGCTGTGAAATTACAGCAGGCCAAGTAATAGTAAATCAATGAGAGCGTTATTTTAAATGACAGAAAAACTGACCAATCACATCTTTCCTCTAAATGGGCGGGCCTTGTTATCAATAATTTTATGACAATTTCCGCACCCTGTGGGATCTCTATCGTAAAAAAATGTATACGCTCATAAACTAACTAGCTATTATTCACTTCACGATGGAAGCCGCAAATAACGAAAGTGAGGACATTTACTGGGCCGCTGTGCCAATAATAATGTTACTGCTTGTTTGTAATGAAGTGTCTGTCGCTAATTTGTTTTGCTGTGAGTGTTTCATGATGTGTTGGCTTACATTAAACATTACATTTGTTGGTTTTGTGCACAGACAGATCAGGGTTGGAGCTGAACTCTGCAGGAAGGTAGATCTCCAGGAACAGCGTTGGGCACCCCTGCTCTAGGGCAACTTATCACACACCGAACGAGTCGTGTTTAGTTCGAGATGGCAGTCAAAAACCTTTAATCTACTCTCCAAACAGTCAAACATTCACTTCAAGAATGAGCAAGTGGTGTCAATTAGTTTGGAGTTCGGTGATTAAAAAAAAAAACAGAGCAAACAGAATGAGAAAATGCAGTCTTGTAGTCAAAGCACAGAGGCCGGTGGTAGAAAACAATGTGTTTGAATAATAAAGACATGGTGTGGCGCAGTACTGAGCTTCTCATCCGGTATGTGACCGCATTAAGGCTGGAATAGCCTCTTGTTTCAAAGGTGGAATTGTCAAAGATGACTTTTAGAATTAGAGTCTGTAAGCTAGGCTGGTAGTCTGTTCCGACAAAGGGTAGGGGTAGAGGGCCAAGGTTCAAAAGTCACGGTTCGCTACTGGTTAATTGTCATTTGTCCAAGTGCCATTTTTTGAGTTTTGGGTTTTACCAAAGAGACGAAAACATGAGAAAAATTAAGCAATATCACATGAGTAAGAATGTTGTATAAAGTATAAATGAATTATCACTAAAGGTTTTCTTAACTTAAGAGGTTTGTTGCAACCTCGTGCAGACCAACAGCATAATTGAGAATGTGATATTGTTTTATATAAGAGTACAATAAATAAGAAGTTAATTTTAATTTTCCTGCAAATTTTTTTTTTGGTTGAATGAATAATTCAATAACTCTCAGTCAAAATCAAGACATTATTTAATAAAGACATAAAGACAATCACTTGTCTCCACTTATTGGCACAAAGACATAACCTACAGAAAGAGGCAGTGAAAAATCCACAACACTAATGGAGACTGACATCCTGTCTGCTACCTGTAAACAGTCAACAAGCCACCCAGCCAATCAGATCTGAGGACCGACTCAAGAGCTTGTAACACTCCAAAGAGAAAGGAAAACTTGAAATCGCATCATATGACCCCTTTAAAAGTTAAATAAACAATGATTTTTATTTCTAGAGCCACTAAAAAAAGGGTCAGTAAGATATTTGTAATGAATTTAATACTTTTACTCAGCAATAATGCATTAAATTGATCAAAAGGCAGTAAATACAT